AAAAGTACAAATTAAAGTTCTGTCTGCGGAAGGTGAACATAATAAAATTACTGAAACATAGGCTATAGCCGAATAGCCATTCCCGCTAACGAAAATACGCGTAAACCTTAATTAATGCAGCACAAAAGCTTTAAAAGTTCTCCTTAAGTAAAACAAAATAGAAAATATTTGCCTGTTACACAGAAATCTAATTTGACAAACTCGGAACATTTAAAAGGAACTGAATGTACACGAGATTCTGAGATTTCTAGCCCAAACCAACTTAAATATGCCAATGAGCCTAAACTTTTTAGCATATCGAAGCTCATATTTTGTGTTAGTTACTTCAATCGACTAGCGGGGCATGTGTAAACTAAGAGTGTGAATGACCACAACTACTATATAATTCGGAACATTTAAAAGGAACTGAATGTACACGAGATTCTGAGATTTCTAGCCCAAACCAACTTAAATATGCCAATGAGCCTAAACTTTTTAGCATATCGAAGCCCATAGTTCGAGTTAGTAACTCAATCGACTAGCGGGGCATGTGTAAACTAAGAGTGTGAATGACCACAACTACTGTATAATTCGTCTACAAGAATAACTAAGCTATCCAATAGGTGCTGCTTTAATTGTTCCTTTACAAAAACCAGATAAAATAGTTTGGGCCTTCGCTTCTTCTTTTTGTCACTTTTGAGAATACTCGAGCGCCTCACTACGTCAGAAAATTGAACTATAAAAAATAACAATTTCAAAATTTTTACTTTTTTAACTAAAGGAGTGGTTGCTGTTTATTTTTTAAGCGCAAAGCTAAACGATGGGCTATCTTCACTCTGTCCTCCACTAGGAATCAAACTCCGGATTTTAGCACTGAAAGTCCGTAAACTTACCGCTGTCCGACGTGGAAACTACAAAATATGAGCTTAACTTGAAATGTACATGAAATTCAGGATGTGAGTTGCCAAAAACTTATTACTAACATATTATTTTTAAATTCTGCTTTATTAGTTAACACCTGTTCGAAATACGTTATGAACTAACAATAATTTAATACAAATTTGAAAATAACTTGTTTCAATTTTCTGCTGATAGCATTATGTAAGGATAAGACGCTTGATAAACCGTATGAATTAACTACTCCCATTATTTTTTATTGTATAACAAATTAGATGAATAGAAACATGTTTCTTATAATTTACACTAATAAATGTTTTAATGAATACTTTTGTTCTATCAGTGTTTATAAGATGTTTTTGTATAAAGTTTGTAAAAAATACATAAAAGTGATTTTGAGTTCTAGCAGTTATTATTTCTGTTTCATCTCTTACTTTAGATTCATTATATAGAGGGTATCAATAATAAAATTGTTTAACCAGTTTTCTTCTGTTTTTGTTTTTTCGAAATTTCAAAAATATTTATCTAGAAGTTCATGATCTATTATTACATAGATATAATCAAAGGAAGAATTCTTACACATATTTTCACTTTATAGTGAATTTTCAATAGGAATTGCTTGTTTGACAAGGTTAACTATAGAATCATTGAAATTGTAAAATTATATACAGTTATTGATTTAAAGTTAATATTGGAATATAATACAATAATGAAAAATTATAAAATTTTGTTGTAGTACATTTTGTAACATCTATTTGCACTGACAAACATACAGCGAGGGAACTCAACAATTACAAGGAGGAGAGCTGGTGCTATACTTCTCTAGCGTGTAAGTAAATATATCGTATCTTTCTGTTTACTTTGTGAGAGACAAACAAAACCATAAATATAATCAGGAGTGGGTTATATTGAGTTCTGATGCAATTGAATAGTAAAACTTGCATGACGTTGGGAGCTTATGATAATCACAAAATATGTAAACTTTAAAGACAAAATACTACGTACTTCAAGCTTACCTAACAAATTACTAACATTACTTATCCTCGACACAATGTCGGTCAATACGCCAGTGTGGGCATTATCATAAGTACTTGATTGTTCTCCACGTAGAATCGTCTTTAATTAACTATCTGTTAAGTTAAGGTTGTTTATTAATGTCTCTTTATGAATGTTACTGGATAATATAATGCCCAGCTAGGCGGTTTTGTGGGATAATATAATAGTTGAATGAATTGCAGGTAATATTTAACTTCATATATGTAATCGTATTTATTACTACTTATTTTCACTCGGAATCTTGTTTAGTTTTTGCATTAATAATAACTACGGCGAAAGCTGGTAAAATTCATAATAGCGTTTCTTTGCCACTAGAGAAAGAAGGCTGGGTATCAAAACATGTATTATTATTGAAGTTTTATTATTATTTATCATAAAATATAAATTATCCTAATTATTTCATTTTCTGAGGTGATTGTGTTTCATCTGTATAATGAAGAATAATTTATTTACGTTATAGTTTGAAATCTGGTGGAAGAATAAAATAAAAACAGTATTAAGGAGCCTGTGGACGTATGAAATTGGATTTGGAGTAGAAGGTTTCGTTCATATTACTTTCCAAGATAGTCCTTGTAGATCACTGAGACGATGTAAATTCAATAATAATAATAATAAAAAATCTTTAGTTTATTACGTGGTTTGTGTGGACGTTTATAATAAATCGTCAGCCACTTGTATTATCTAGCATCTTCACGTAAGATTATCGTTATATACTGTAGGAGGACAAATTGTTACATAACCTTATACTTCATCAATATAATATCAAACAGTTTTATTTTCGTAAAGATTACTTCATCTAATAATAAAAATAATTAATAATATCTGATGCTTATCACGTTCGAAAATTATTAGACGGAATAATTAAACTACATATTATTGAGTTTGGTAAGGAATCTCAACTATGAAAGACACGGAGAACACCAAAAATTAAATTCTACAGTTTATGTAAAAGGTTAGTGAAGACAAAAATTTCAATAATTAATTTTAAACTCACCCCTCTGTGACCTTTGAAATCTAAGTTACTTCGATAATAAATTAAAATATAGAGAAAGGATGTAGCTTTTTTAAAAAAAAATATTCTCTCAATAAGTAATTTGTTTCTGTGGCAATCAATACTATGAAAAGTTATTAAATGTTTATTAACACTTGCTTTTTACATACAGTGTAGGAAAAAAATACACTTTGACTAACATACTGTATTTATTGATTATATTTGGTAACATTTCACTTTGCTATTAGAGACTTTTCTTAAACAATGGGAGAAAAAAAAAGATTTATTCATAAAAATTACACAAATCATATTTTTATTGTATAAATATTCATATATCTACACTAGTACAATATACTAAAAAAACATACACAGAAGAGAAAGTACAAAGAAGGGAAAACACTTTTAGATGTTTAAGAACAATAGTGCTATATATTTTGGAATGGAAAGTTGTCTTTTTTGGTAAAATAGTTTCTTGATTTAAAAATTTTGATTTTTAGGGAGGCACACAAAATATTATAATGAAATAAAAGAATTCGTTAATAAAACATTATTCAATTAGATAAAAACTCATTTGTTTAACAATGTTACCTTAATTTACTATGAATATAAGTACTGAAATGTTCCTTGCTCACAAAAGAATACTTTGTGCTTATAGTCAAATATTAACTTATTTTTATAAAATTTTAGCAATGTCAGGAACCTGACCTTTTGTTGCATCATTTCACTTGTTTATCAGTTATAAAAAATGTCACCTGCTGTTTCAGAGCTACATTTTCTCTAGTTTTGGTTATCAGTTAAATAGAAACCAATGCTCAGTGGCTATGGTGATGAACTACATTTGACCTTTATGGCAGCCTGATTTAACTAATTTATATACTAGTAACTTGTGCAGTCACATCATTTGAAAATGATTACTTTCTCACAAAAAAAAAAAATGTATTAAATGCAGTACAAACATTATATAAATGCTTTAAAAGTGTTAATTGCATTCCAATTTCTATAAGAAACCTTAATACATCATTAAAGTTACCTAAAAACATTAAAAATAAAACTAACCACCATGTCAATACACTTGCATGTTGTATGACGTCATACAATGCAAGTTGTGGTCTAGTTTCTGAATGAATGTATTCATCATTTTATGACTGATAAAGGCATAGAAAAAAGTCAGTTATAGTTAGAAATACTTAGATGCTATAAAATAAAATACCTGTTCAACTAAATACATCTTTATCAGAGACTACTCTATCTTTGCCATTGTCACTTCCTTCTTTGTACCAGATAAAATACATTTACAGTCCACAACATGACAAAGACTGAACATGGTGAAGTATCAATACCAGGTGAATTGGTAGAAAGTTGCTTATATTGTCCTTTACTGCATAGATAGGAAACTCAAAGTTGCAAACCAATACTAACCCATGAAAATACTCTTTCCTGAGGAAACTATGATAACGATGTTTATTTACACAATTGTTCACAAGAGGCAAAAAAAAAAAACATACTGAAAAAATCCACTGTCATTATAAAAACAAGATTATACTATACACTTTCACCATAGCTATTTACAACATCTAAAGAGTTTGGCAAAGTATGACAATACAAATGCTTCAGTAGAGTACAAAAAACATCTTGCTAATTTTATTCCATTTTTTTTCTTCCATAGTTATGTTGATTTGGACAAACAAGAGACAAATTATAGTAAATGAATGTACAAACAATTTTGTAATGAGTGTTTTTCAATACCATAGGCATAAGTTATTTCTTTTAATAAAAGGAAAAATCACACATGGTTTTTAAAAGTAATCAATTTCAAACTAACCATGCAAGTGTTCTAAGGGTTTTATTCAAAAGCATTTCAACAAAAATTTTTGTAATGAGTGTTTTTCAATACCATAGGCATAAGTTATTTCTTTTAATGGAAATTAAACATTTATAAAAAGGAAAAAAAATTCACACATGGTTTTTAAAAGTAATCAATTTCAAACTAACCATGCAAGTGTTCTAAGGGTTTTATTCAAAAGCATTTGTTTCAAATGAAAAAAAAAAAATCCAAACAAAAACAAAAATGTCCTTGGCTTTAGTTTTGCATGATGGATTTATTTTTATGGGGACATTCTGCTGATGAGAAACGTTTCTGGGTGACATATATGATGCTGATTTGTAGAAGACATAATGTAGTCTTCAAAAGTTTTGCACTAAATTACAGATTTGTTAAAACACAGTAAATACTACCAACAAGTTATATTTTTCAAGTTTCTTCACAAAATAAATATAGAAACAGCATTTTTTTAATAAACAGCAGAACACATGATCATTCACTTTGATATATTTATATTACACAACGATAATAACAACAACAACAATAATGGTGTATGCCAACTTCTTACTTCATTTACAGAAGTTAATCCAAAATGTTTTTCCAGTAATTAGATGGTATCAATCACAGGTTTTTTTTTGTTTATTTTTTCATTGCAACAGTTGCATACCTCTGGATCTACACCAGGTTTTGGGCATCCAAATTTACAGAATGCTTTAGTTTTTCATCTTCCACTAACTTTCCAAGCTGGCTTAAGACGAGGTAATTTATCATATTGTTTAATAATCTTTAATTTCTAACACTCACGTGGAAAACAAACTATTGGTTCTAAGGCATGCCTAGCCATCAAATTTATACACAAGAACCAACAGTTTTCTGCAAAGAAAATACAAGTTTTGATGCTACCAAACAATTACTAGTAGAGTGTGCTGAAACACAGTTCAATATCGTTTGTGTTGTCAAACAATCAATATCATTGTGTGCTGTAACCAAAAGTATGTCTTTTCTATTACCAAGCAATCACCAGCAGAGTATACTGTAATCAAAATACAAGTTTTTTTTTAGTTTTTTTTGCATTGCAACACAATCACAGCATTTGTTTAATGTAAGTTAGCAAATATCCCAGGGACTTGTTACTTTTTTGCTACTTGGGGAGAAGTTTCCTAGTAACAACCACAATTTATGTATCAAACAAAGCCAGAATGTCTTCACTTGTACCATTAGAGGTTGATATGGTATTGCCACTGTTAGATGCTGTGGTACTAGTGGTACTTCTTGAGGTAGTGCAGGAATTTCCACTAGAACTACATAATTCTGGTGGTTCGAGGTATGATAATAACTCCATTGGATCCACAACTGTTTCTGGTAGTAGCTGCATTTAAAGAAAAAAGAAACCATTAGACAACATAAAAATTATGGCTATTTCATTCCATTATTTAATCTACATATAATCATTAATTATTTTTGAAACTATCTAAGAGGTGTTGTTTACTTTCATTATCTGTTGAGAGAGAGAAAAAGATAATATCACATGTGAGAAAATTGTCTTTAAATTGATTCACTATAACATTAAAACTTTGCAGTGTATAAGTTTAATAATTAAAAAATATGCTTAAAAAACTTAATTAGTCACCTCATGATAGGGCCAAACATCAGTATAATTTAGCCTTTTTTTATAACATGCATCTATTTCTGTATATGACTATATACTACTGCTAACACATGAATGCTTTTAAGTATTATTAACTTTGTGGATCTTAGGAGCAAACTAACAATTGTAAGTAATGACCTACTCCATTTACAATTTACTAATAGATCAGGAAACACTTTGATGCTTGCAGGTCCTGTGGTCAGGTAATGTGTTAGTGTTTGCATTGCAGGCAGGCAACAATGATGCTAGGCTGTGGCTTACTCTGTAAAGGGTATTTTATTTTCTTACACTAATAAAGTAGTAAACTTTTCAATTATGTTTAACTGAAGACCTGAAAAAGACACCTGAATGTTATAAATGGAAAGAAACAAAGGATGGTGTGAGATTTGAAGAAGCTAAAGGTGTATTGTCTAGAAATAACAAATAAAAAAACTGTAATCTGACTGCATTTCTGTATTCATAAAACTAATGGTATCACCTGACATATCCTATGACAGTCTCATTTCATCATGTGGGTATTTGAAGTATTTAATTTATTATGTGCACAAGGTCCTAGTAGAGCGTTCAGACTGTGTAAATGTTAGATCGAACATAGCTTGCACATTTCAGAAGCATATACATGGAATTCCTGTAATCACAACATCCTCTAACTTTCATCTAAGTAAGTTCCAAGTGTAATGAGCAACAGTAACAAAAACAAAAGGATATTAGATTTAAAAATTACAATCTATTTGAAGAAAAACAAATGATTAATTAAGACAACTAGATTAAACTGTTGTTAAGGTGGCCTAAATAGCGAAGTAATTAAAAAAAAAGATTTTTGCTCTTGTGCAAATTTAAAGGCTAAAAATATTTTCATGAAGTTAATCAAATCAAACATATAAATTTTGCGTATGTGTATGGGAACAATAAAATAAGATTTTAATTAACCTGAGAAATATTGCCATGTGATAATGACAGAGTAAGTGTTGTTAAATATTAACAAAAAAATTAAGTAGAATGAAAAAATAAATATGAAGTCAAATCTTTCTCTGACTAATAAAATTTTATGCTTTAATTAATGGTACAAAATTTATCACCCCTATTTTTTAAATTGTTTTCATTGCCAAAGTTTGAGCCAGTTTTGCATTCTGGGACTGAGTTTATTTTGTATTACAAATATTTCCAAGTACTTTATTCAAACAACTGTACTTATTTACTGCTTGACACAGAGCTAAAACCATTGTTTTCTATAATTAGTACCTTGGTCTCAGTGTATAAAAGATAGACTTACATTCAAACTTTCCTGACTTTGGTCATCACCATCTGGACCTTGGCTGTCACTGTCAAAAATAGAAGCAATGTTTAAATCACATAAATCTGGTGCATCAGAGAGGGAGTTATTATTCACAGAGGATGGCTGGCTAAAATGATTGCTATTACCATTACAATTAAGTTGGAGGTTTCCATTACTGTTGTTACCAACAGAAGAAGAAGAGGGAGCACTAAGGGGTCCACTATTTTTTGGCCCATGCTGTAACATTTCCTGGTTTTGTGAAGACAATGATGTAGAAGGAGGGTTCTGTGAATGATCTGATGATTGTTGAGACTGGGTTGTTATTGATGGTACTGAAGACAGTGGAGGATGGTGCTGTGCAGTTTGGTCATGTATGTTACCAGGGTGACACATTTGCTGAAAATATACAGTAAAAGAAAGTGTTTCACAAGAAATATATATATATATATATATATATCCACATTTTTGTAAAAATTCACTACAAAACCTAGCAATAATAACATATAACATTGAAAAAATTAGCAAATGTATACAATAAACTGAAATTAGAATTAAATAAGACAGATCATTACAAAAATTCCCCCAAGGGTAATATGAGAAGTTTATCTCCTGAAGTTACTTGTTTATTTGTTCATCCAAACAGTACTTCATGCTCACAAAAAAATAAGGTAGAAATATTTATGGTTCCACCTGTAGCTGAAAGTGTGTAGTATGTTTGGCTGCTAGCACCACATCTCGGTCCCAAGACTATTGGATTGCCTGTCTGATATGCATTTAGGCTCACCTGAGTATCACTCCAACTATTTTGATATTCACATATATAGCTATCTTTATACTATTAAAACCAGAGAGGAATGCTACCTCAGTGTTCACTTATCTTATTCAATAGCCTGTTTCATAGTATTGGTTTTATTTTCTATTTAATTAGAAGCAACTACCTTCTCACATACAACAGGCTTCAGAAAATAAACAGAAATCTTTTTTAAACTTAACATAAGAATTTAAATTTGATAGAGAGTGTATCTCCATTGCTGATTGGGTCGTCACTTCTGCACGTGCCTTTCTTACTAAGGTACATTTCTTGTTTTCCCTAGATTATTAATTACTGAAATGGTTTCCAACCATTTTGGGCAGAAATCCCCCCCCCCCCCATGCACACTATACAATTTGCACTTACCCACTCTTTGCATTATAAACATTTATTTATTTATATTCACACATACATATCTCCATTATATAAACTACAACATAGAACTATAACTACAACCTGTTCCATTGAAACTGCCATTTTAGCAAGAACTTCGGGTTTGGGCCAGAAAAGTGCACTGTTATCCTCACTAGAAGCCAAGCTTATCAAGTTTGATACATCCCGGAGGTGGTACACTACTCAGATTAGGAACTACTCTTTTTACATTAAATCATTAACTTTTATTTTAAAATCATGGCATGTCATACTGCTATTTATAATACTGAATAAGACCGATGTCTGTAGATTTACTTTCTTCTTGGAATTCTTCTCAAGAAGTTGATAAGCAACGTTAAAACGGCTTATCGACTTCTTGAGAAGAATTCCAAGAAGAAAGTAAA